TGCCCAGTGAAGTAATAAACAACACAGTCATGGAAGCATGAAGTGCCCAGTGAAGTAACAAACAACACAGTCATGGAAGCATGAAGTGCCCAGTGAAGTAACAAACAACACAGTCATAGAAGCATGAAGTGTCCAGTGAAGTAACAAACAACACAGTGATAGAAGCATGAAGTGTCCCAGTGAAGTAACAAACAACACAGTGATGGAAGCATGAAGTGTCCAGTGAAGTAACAAACAACACAGTGATGGAAGCATGAAGTGTCCAGTGAAGTAACAAACAACACAGTGATGGAAGCATGAAGTGTCCAGTGAAGTAACAGACAACACAGTGATGGAAGATGAAGTGCCCAGTAAAGTAACAAACAACACAGTGATGGAAGCATGAAGTGTCCACTGAAGTAACAAACAACACACTCATGGAAGCATGAAGTGTCCAATGAAGTAACAAACAACACAGTGATAGAAGCATGAAGTGCCCAGTGAAGTAACAAACAACACAGTGATGGAAGCATGAAGTGTCCAATGAAGTAACAAACAACACAGTGATGGAAGCATGAAGTGCCCAGTGAAGTAACAAACAACACAGTGATAGAAGCATGAAGTGCCCAGTGAAGTAACAGACAACACAGTGATGGAAGATGAAGTGCCCAGTAAAGTAACAAACAACACAGTCATGGAAGCATGGAGTGCCCAATGAAGTGACAATACAGGTAAGTGTAACATGTAAAGTTTCAGCTGTGAATGAGATTCCAACTTATTCCCCATGCTGTTGAGTTAATTTGAATACTAGGTGTCAATCCCAGAGGTTGTTGCAGAGTCCCTGTTGTTGTAATTTTTAGTTTGTATATTGTCAAGTACAAAGTTACACAATGGGCTGGTTATCAGCATTATTAGCCTTTAGACTCATCACTGTGCCAATGAAGCTATTATTATACAGTAACAACTATAAACACAAGCATACCATGGAGCAAATCACCATATGCATGCAGTGCTTAGATCATTTAGTGTCATACGCATGCAGTGCTTAGATCATTTAGTGTCATACGCATGCAGTGCTTAGATCATTTAGTGTCATACACATGTAGTGCTTAGATCACTTAGTGTCATACGCGTGCAGTGCTTAGATAACTTAGTGTCATACGCGTGCAGTGCTTAGATCACTTAGTGTCATACCTGTGCAGTACTTAGATCACTAATTTATAATCTTCTTCAATGGCCATATATTTTTCTTGATATGTTCATTATTTCATCACTTAGCTCAGGCTATAACTCAATATCTCAGAAACCAATTATTTATGAACAAGCTAAGTACTTTAGTGGTTTGTTTACCTTAATCATAGTTTTGACATTTTATAAAATCTTTAATCTGACTAAAGATTATCATACACTTGTTTGACTCACCATAGTGAAAATGCTGGTGTTGCAGAGGTGAGTTTGATGATCCAATAGAGCTGTTGCTATGGTTGTCAAAACCTACAGAATTATTACTAGAGTCCACATCGTAACTATGTTGATACTGAAAGCTTCCTCCACTGCTGCTGTCTGTCGATGTGACTGATCCTATGAAAATGTGAGAGTTATTTGTATCTGCCTCAACCAATCAGTGCTATGCTAATGCAGCATATACACTAAGTTTATGAATTGTAACAGTCTTGTTAGTAATGTCTTTGACCTACATCATTACCAAAACATTCTTCAGATAGAAGTCGAAATTGTTAACTATGTATTTTCTTTCTGTTAATTAGTTCCTCCCAATTTCGATCTAAAAAAGCCTTAATATAAACAACTGAAATGTTGTCTTTCTGTAGAAGCTGGTAAGAACAGTTCATTAAAAGTCACACCTTTATTGTGCCTAAAATACTCTCTAAACAACAACTTTCTTAAGATCTTTAAGTTTTATTTTTTTTGCTAACCAAAAAAAAAGCACTGTATTTATCAAAAATTGAGTATGTAACATTATAAAATCCCTTATATTATTGGGTTAAACATAAAATATCAATGATTATCAAAACCTAACCTGATGCTTTAAGAAAAATGGTTTTCAAGAGAAAAAAAAACACGTTTGAGAGGAAAAAATTTTGAATGAACAATGAAATGCCACAATACGTAACAACTACAATAAAATGAACCAAATGATTGTTCTGTAAAAACGAAATTTATTTCTTTTATCTCTGAAGGCCTTTTTTTTTTCACAATGCTATGTGTGCTCTAACCCTAACTTTAACAGTTCTTGGCTGAAATTAAAATAACCTAACCTTTATTTAACTGTAAAGATTTTAATTTATAGAATCTTAAAAACGATAACATGAATAACTGGAAAAATAAAGCAGTAATTATTATTGGTACAAAAAAGGCAAAACTCTTTTATCATGATTAATATTTGAAAAATAAAGTTTTATAGAAAGTTAGATTCTCTTTTCAAGAAATTAGGTCTTCATTTCTCTGAACTATCAAACCAGTAACTCTTAGAAACTTCAAACTTCCCAAGAAAAAAAAAGATGCTGTAAGGAGTTAGAACTTAATAAAAGTGTTTGTGTTAGTCTTAAAAGCAAACTAAGATTTTACAGTGTGAGCCACCTTGTGGCAAGTGCTTCTTTCGTTATGTCTTACCCATAGAGTGGAATGCACTTTGTCTAGAATTTACAAACAGTGTAATCAAGTCACAACTAACATTAACTTACCCGATGTCTGTGATTTACGAACAGTGTAATCAAATCACAACTAACATTAACTTACCCGATGTCTGTGATTTACAAACAGTGTAATCAAATCACAACTAACATTAACTTACCCGATGTCTGTGATTTACGTAGTGGAAGTTGCTTTAGACCAGTCACGCTAGAACTCTCTGCTGATAGATCTACTGGAAGCTTAGATGGGCTGTGGGTGTCACTGTGAGAGCGACCGTGGTTATGCCCATTCTCTTGCCATCGTCGAGCCATATTTGGAGAGCGTGAGGGAGAATGAGAGTGTCTAGTAGGTTGGTAAGGGCGAAGCTTGGTGTGGTCAGAAAGAGCTAATAATTTCCTAACAGCCTGAGGTGATTCTGCACCTGAGAAATAGAAAAATACATTCAGTACAAACTAAAATACATAGCAGACAAAGAATAATTTATCATGTAATGGTCAAAACACAAATAATTTTTTTTTTCCCAATTTATAGTTTAAAAGCTAATTTACTTTAATATTTTCTCTCACTTGCAATATTAAAACTATTAACAGAATAAAAGCATAGAAACAGATGTTCAGGGTTAAGAAAACAATACAACTAGTATATTCTAATTAGGAGCTTAATATCACTAATTCTTCATTAAGATGTTAATTATGATGTTAAAAATTCCAAAAGAACGTTTTATACACAATCAAGTAAATTCTACTAACACCTTATGTATTACGTTAGCACAATATTACAATGTATATGACTAATATTAACTTTCCATTAAAACAAGCCGTGTACTTAAGAGCAGGGGTGTGCTGGGGCCGGTTTGGTACGGTTCACCCCGAACCAGTTGTTGAATTTTGATTGGATCACCGAACCATTTATTGATTTTTAACAAATATTTAGTAGTCAATAGAAACGTATCTTGAAATGGTACAAAAAAGATCTTATTTTCCTTACTATTAACTATTATACGTTTCACAAATTAGAGTAAGTTTATTTTGATGTATCACAGAATTTTGTCCTTAATCAGAACCGGTTGTTAAAAAATTGCCAGTATACCCCTGCTTAAGAGTGAAACCTGGCAATCACTACAGCTCATTAAATATACCCTTCTTACACATCTACTACAAATACATCAGTTACATCAACTGTTACATCAGTTGGGTACCCTTGCTGTTATTAGAATAAAATCCTAATTACCAAACTTTTGTCCTGTGTTAACTGACTTCTTTCCTTCCGATGTGCTGCTGTTACTGCTAGCTGTAGATAAGGTTGGTGAAGGGTGTTGTTTTCTAGTCTGTATATTAGCAACACCTGTTAAAGAAGCAATTAATATTAAAGAGATTTGCTGTATTTGCAATTATGCAGCAAGATCTTAATTTCGGCCTAAAACAAAAACCAAGATTGTAAAATTACATTGTGTGTTAACTGTACATCAGTATTAAAATGGATCTTAAAGACGTAGGAAACTTAACTAACAGATTTGTATTAACGTTTCTCAACAACCTTGAAATCATCATATTGAAGTTATGTTGTTATTTCACCGCCCGTCTTAGCTAATTGGAAGATCGATGACTAAAGTTGTGTTATGATGTCACCACATATTTTACTGATAACTGAAGTCATTATACAGAAATTATGTTAGTAGTTAATTTCATCGAGTGTAAAACTGTTTACATAATCCAACTTAAAATTAGTTAAAGAACTGAGGAAAAACAAGACAATTGTACGTTTCACAGATACATCATTTATTACGACCATGGTTTCGCAAGTAAAGGCATCATCAGAAACCATGGTCGTAATAAATGATGTATC